TCCCTTTTGTTTCATCTCTCATGGTGCCCTATATAGCGCCTCACCCTCGGTCTCCATTTCTGTCCCGCTCTGGTGAGCGCTGCGACAAATTAACTCTCCTTGAGAGGGCAGAGGACAGATTACACTCTGTGTAAGCAGTCACAGTACCCTGCACCTTTCGCGTTGCGGATGAGCTAGGTGGTTAACAGGCAGAAAACCTCCACCACCACCGGTGTGTGGTAAAATACTATCCTCAAACTTCTTTACACTCAGTTGCAACCTTTCTCTATTAAAACGGCACAAACTCATTATCACAGATATGACAGGCCAATGTCACTTTTGGTGTTACATCTCTATGTACTTCTTATTCTTTTGCCCAAAATGAAAATCAATGTACACTTTGGTTTAAAAAAAAAAACATAAATGTGGATTGTTGGAGAAAGTACAAATCAGACGCACACAGTAAAACAGATTACAGTGAGAGAAATTAGATCATGGAAAGAAGTCAGAGAAATGCTGTCCTGCATTCTCCCATATTTCTGAACCAGTATTTGGGCTGGCTCTGCAGTTCAGAGCACAAAGCTATTTCTTGCTGTACTGACCATTTTACCATATTACAAGTTCCAAGCCCCTCAGACCACTAGTTATGCCTTACTGTATTCTGTATTCATAGAGAATATATAATATATATATTATATATATATATATATTCTACAGGAAATTCAGGCATATGTTTACGGCAGGATGTATGAGAGTTATAGTACAACGCTTAAAACCAACTTTTTCACCACGCTCCCTAAACGGACAAAGGGGAAGGCTACCTGCAGATGTGTCTGAAGACATTTTTTGCCTCATGAGCACAGACATTGGCTGATGCCAATTGTTTCCAAATGCCGGATGATTGGCCAGATTAATCTGCCAATTTATCGATAGACTGATTAGTCGGTCTATAACTAAACACGGTGGTCCAACATGGCAGCCTCCACAGAGGGAGACCTGTGGCATCTGCAGATAAAAACGGCTCATTCTAAGGTAACAAAAACACAACGATTCTTGTATTCAGGTGATTATACACTAATGAACAACAAATACCTATGGGGTGAAGTATTATATTCCATTTCTGCCAATAGATCCTCCTAAATGTTTCACACTGGATCTTTAAATATCCCTCTGCTCAGCTGCAGGTCTTATTTTTGGCCCAAACAAATATGTGACAACATTTATCAGTTAAAACAGCCATTGAGTAGAGGTTGAGAGGCGCAGCAAGCTCCAAGGGATGCATGTAATCTTTTACGTCTAATTGAAATCAGAAAGGTATTTGTTGTGTACAGACAGGCTATTTGTAACCTCAAAAGTAACTTGAAGGACTGGAGAGGAACACAATAATCTGTGGCATTTATCAGTGAGATGAGTACCATGTTTTGTTGAAAAGTATATTGAAATATAAAGTATAGTGAAATGTAGTGTGATTAATAGGAGATAGTACTAAGTGCCATTTAAACCATCCACTTAGGCTGAAGGGAATTTTGTAATTAAGATAACATAAGACAAATGTTTGAAAGTGTTTTTTTAAGAATGAAGCTTACAGCAAACACGCAGCGACAAGTAGTGATAAAATGAACAATACAACCCTTCTTGTCTATGTGAGGTTTCAGAAATAGGATTGCTGACTTGTACCCAAGTCACTTTGGTGTTTATAAAGCAGCAAACGCAAGCAATGAACCTTCTTACCGTCCTTGTACCTGCAGTACAAGGTTACAGCCGTAAGAGTCCAGGTGGCACGGTGTGTTGGCCCCCTCTGTGCCGATCCATAACGTGCTCTCTCTCCCATTGCGTCCCTCATAACCAAACTCGGACCACTTTACATCCTGCAGCACACACACACGCACACAGACGACATTCAAATTACAATTATCAATCCGAAATAATGTGAAAATATAAATAAATATTTTTATTTAAATAAAAGTTGCCATTCTTTTTGTCCGTGATAATGACGTGACATGGAAACAAGCCTCACATTTTACCAACTGTCACAACTCTGCTAGAAGCTCACAGATGCACCTCATCAGCTACTTTGACAGGACCTATTATAGGTGACCAATGTAGGTGTGTGTGTGTGTGTGTGTAGAGAAACCAAGCAACAGTATTTGTCATCTTTCAAGGTAAACTGGTCTGTCAATCATGTCCTGCCAGCGCACAAAGGTGCAGCAATCGCGTCGGCATCCTGAATAATGAAGTTATTACCATATATGCAGGCAGCTGTAAATGACAGACTGGTCAATCTAGCGTCTAGGCAGCCTTTTTCCCCAACACCATTTATCCTGTAAAAAGCCCATGTCCGCCTGTCTCAAAGGCATGAAAGTCAGTGGGTAATAATTGCACGTGGATGCCCAATAAAAATGTATCACTGAGATAAAAATGAAATGAACGGGTGGCAGTGGCTTGAAGACGGATTACACTTTTATGTCTTTACATACCGGAGGACAAAAATAGCAGCCAATATAAAGCCGTTACGGGCAAAAGCTTAACATTGTAATTAAAAATGTCAAAACAAGGAGAAAATGTTTGAATATAAATAGGCATTTTTTTTAAATGAGACCAGGAGGGAAAATTTTGGCTCTTTCAATTATTTTTTTCTATTTTTTTTATTTAATGTTTAATTCGTTGATAAGCCAAAGCTCTTGCAACTGTTAGACAGCAATCACATGGGAAAAATGTTTTCTAAATTAAACCAGCTTCTAAATGTGCTTATCATCTTAAAGAAAAAATAGTTTTTATAACATTTCTTTACTATGGACACATTTATATCATGAAAACAAAACTAAAAACAGGCTTTTAAATTGACTCTAGCTTCTCTTTCATTTGTTTAAATTTGGCAACATATCTCAACCTGGGTGTAAAATATGCTCTGATTTGGAAGCTTAATACATTTCACTATTTCAAGTCAGACCAGAATAGGTGGATGATGGCCTGTTTGCTGTTCTCCTTACATCCACGCTCTTTTGCTCCTGCTCCCACTGTTAAATGCAGTGAGTGACATTTGGTCAGAAATTAAATGATCTAAAGATGACTTGTTTTTCATGGTGATTCATGGCTGCAGAAATCTCAATGCTGCAGCATACAATGATATTCTAAACAACAGTGTTCTTCCAACCTTGTAGCAACCATTTCAGTTTCAACAAAACAATGCCAGGTCCATAAACAAATAGTTTTCCCAGTTTGGTGTGGAAGAACTTGACTGGCCTGCACAGAGCTCTGACCTCATCCATCTGTCGGATGTTCACTAACAACTCATGCAAGGCTCCATCATCAAACTACGTATAAAAATTGGTGTTGTTGTTTTGTTTTTCTTGCTGCAATTTCATTCAATAATCTGAGGTGATAATTAAGTAACACTAACTGAGACCTGAGAGCTATATGTATGCAGAAGGCTGATTACCTCAAACATGGAAGGCTGATCTTGAAACAATACAGCGATGTATTTGTAGTCAGCATATGCCCAATACTCTGACTTGGGGTATTTAAAGAAAGGCCCTACATCTGTCCCAGCCTGGTCCCGGGTCCAGCGGAGAAAGTCCGCCAGTTTGGCCTCCACATAGGAGCACTGGGTTTCAAACAGAGGTGCTATGAAGGCAGTAGAATATAGCAAGAAAAAACAAAAACAAGAAAGAGAGTAATCACTGGAAAATTGTTTTAAAATTTCAGTAAAACAATTTAACTGATCTATGGTAAACCAAATTCAATTTATATACCAGAATAAACAGCACGATGCATCATCACAGGGGCATGAAATTTTGTTGTACCCTGCTTTTATGAGAAAAATAAATCACAGTTGTAGTGATTTACTCACTTTTGTTTTAGTAAACAAAGTGTGTCTATGGTTGAGTGATGCCATTCATAATCCATCATGAGCAATGTCCTCCTGTCAGCTGTTGCAGCTGAAAAAAAATGATTTAGAAATCTAATTAGCTAGCTTTTATCAGAGGACACGCTCTCAGTTATTCATCACAGCAGGAGTCGTTACTGTAGCTGTGTTAGAAGCACATGGAGGGCAAAACACACCAGATGCTCAGAGACAGAAACCCTGCGTGTGTTTTTTTTAATGCTTATGTGACATTTTACATCAGATCATTTAACAGCTTCCAATATTTCATTAGGTCCTGATAACTACAATCTAATCTTCAAATCATCACATGTCAGAGGATGAACTACACAAGACTGGAGGTAATTATTATGTGCTCACTGAAAATTGGGTGAAAGTAGAGAACTGGCATATGAGGCACTGTACACTGATGTGATCAGGAACACAAAAACAGAAAAGCTTATCAATGTACCATATTTAAATTGTGAAGTTATTACCTATGCTGGAAGTCACAGTGCATTTACAGCTTCCAAAATCATTTTAGGACACTAAAATCCCCAGATTTTATGGAATAGGTAAATGCAGGGGTGAATGTGGCATCCTATGAGCCTAAAATATTATGTGTTTTTTTTTATATTACAATAATGTCATAGTTGTTTTATAATAAAACTGTATTGTACTCTAATATCTATATCCATCTATGCATTCGTCATAGTTTCAGTAATTTCAAAACAACTTGAGCCCACTAGGATTGCTGGTAAGTAGCTTGAACTGGATCTTTTTGGGTCACATAAGTTTTCACTGTGCATGTTCAATCCAGGTGATTAATTACACAGGAATTATTTCAACCCAGATCTGTCCTGACTCCTGATTAATCTTTTGAGCTTACTGTTTGTCTCATCTTTCCTCCCAAGTCTGAACCGGACTAGTTTGTCACCAAGGCAGCCAGACAGGTGCTCTGCAGTCCAGTGGAGAACAGGCCAGCCACGGGTCATGTCCATGAAGACCGCGGGCTGCTGTAGATGATGAAGAATCTTCTGGCTCTCCTCTGGGCTGAAGGGTTTAATGGAGTCGGGGGCAGCCATGGCCTGTAGTACACACTGATAGTGGGTTGCAACACAGAGGATGTAGATACAGCTGATACACAACTGGTGTTTAAGTAGTTGTGTTACCTACGTGTTGTCACATATGTAATTCACGGAAAGTCGTTTTTAAATTACACTACATTAGAAACACTGTCACCACTACAGTTTATCCTCCAGGAAGTCTTTTTAGTACACAACTTGATCGGACTTTAAGGGGTCCTTATTTAAAGAGTTTCATACTATTATTTGTTTAAGTTAGATATAGAATATCGTTTTAACCCTCAGGAATCAATCCATTTACAGCGTTTTATTAGTGTTATATTAGTGTTACAGGTAGTCCACTTTAATAGCCGTTCGTTCATATTTTCACATTCATCACTTTGGTATTCAGTTATGATTACATTTCCCACCTCGTCGAACTAGTTCCTCTTCGTAAAGCACTTTGTGTCAGTAATGGTCCATCCAGATAATAAAACGAGTTGTTAACTAGCTTTGAGAACGAACGAGCTTATTCTGAAACAACAACTCACATAAAACTAAACTAACTTCTGTTCTCGACAGAGCGCATTTTAAACTGTCAGACTATCAGCACTGAAGACCGCATTTACGTCCGCAAACAACCAGACAATGCTAATAGCTAGGCTATGTTTGTTAGCTCAGGAGGAGACTTCTTCGGCTCTACTGTCAGTCAGCTTCGCGGAAAGAGGGGGGGTCTTCTGATCAAACGCTGGGCTCACCTTTCACTACACGTGCAGTTGAGGTTCGGGCGGAAGTAAACAAACCTCACATGACAGTGTATGTTTTTTTTATACACCGGGAACGCCCCACTGTGAATCTACTCCATTTTGGCTCTGTGGTCGCAGCAACAGTCCCATTAAAAACTAATGCAACAGGCTAGCCAAAATGGCCGCCCACTGAGCACAGTTTCCACTAACTCAACTATTTCCGGTCGGGCATGCGCAGTAAAGTTAAGTGACAGAAAAAGAAGCTATCGGCTGTTTTTGTTGTTGTGGTAGACAGAAGCCCGGTCAGACGTCCATTTCCCGTTGCCGTACTGCTGCTAAAACCGGAATTTTAACTGAACTGACAAACAGATAGCTACTATGGGTGCCGCTTCGAGCACCGAGGCCGAAAGGGAGCCGCTTCTTGTCCCTTCTCATGCGGAGACAAACAGTCAGCCAGTAAACAGCAGAGTGTACGGGAGAAGATGGCTGGTTCTGACCCTGTTCTCCCTGCTGGGACTCATGCAGGGGATGGTGTGGAACTTCTGGGGTCCCATTCAGAACTCGGCCGTTCACGCTTTCGGCTTCAGCAAGTCCGACATCGCAGTCCTGGTGATGTGGGGCCCGGTGGGGTTCGTCCCCTGGCTGCTGTTTATGTGGTTAATGGATAAAAAAGGTGAGTTGTTCTTATTTGGTACACTGTGTCCTATCTTAACGTTATGGTGTTTCTCGTTGTTGTTGCCCCCCATGGGGACGTTATCAGCTGTAGTTGAGTCCTGAAACACATGATATAACTTTGTTGATAGCTTTGATGGATAAATCACTCAGAAACTTTTGTGTTGTTAGTTGACACCCCACCCCCATGGTCTCATCTGCATACACAGTCAGATTAGGGGGGATGTCCGGTGTTACAGTGCTCTGTAATCCTTCACATTGTCTAACTTCATAGACATTCCGGTCCCTGCTCACCTGGTGTATTATGACAGTGAAACTTTTCATGGTTCCAGCTTCCAAAAAGTGACTATGTGCTTTTGCTTTTGCTTTTTATTTTAATTTTATTAATTTGGTGTGTTTTTAATAAGACAAAACAAATGGGCTCTGGGGAATTGTTACCTTATCCTCTCTCACTTTTTTTGTCTGAATTGTTGGTTAATTGTGAATATAATCACCAGATTGATCCACAATGAAAAATAATCATTAGTTACAAATGAGCTGCACCTCTCCAGTAAGATCCTGCTTTTACATTGAAGCGTGAGTAATAATAATAATATAATACTGATATGCAGTCTAAAACTGCACAAGACAAAAATATAAGTGTGAATAAGCCGGTGCAAAAGGGTTTTCCATCATCCAGCATCAGAGTTGTACTCATGTGAGAGTTTAAAAGTGCTGATGCAGGATAAGCAACTCTTTAGGGACCCCTCTCCTCCAAAACAGTTTACATTCACAATGGTCTTGAAACCACAGAACATTCTGTGAAGTGCCTTTGCCTGCCGAAGAGCTCTTGACTTGAGCCGCTCAGTCAGAGCGCACTTCACCTAACCAGTTCTACCGAGTCACCTGACTGACGCTGGACTGTCAGATGACAGAAACAGTTACAACACAGTAACAACATCATGGTAACCAGGATGCGGACGAATTAAAGACCACAAGTTAAATGTTGCCAAACTCATCTTGTGATCCTGATTCATCAACAGTTAGTGGTTCTGGTGTCTCTCGGTGGTAGGAACACCTTACTGACACAGCTGTATAAGGTGAAATAATCCAGCCGTAGATTCCCCACATACCTGTAAATTGTAACTTAACTTTATACCCATCTTGCAGCTAATTCTGTCTCTGAGGCCCATATCAAATTAGGGCAGCTCATTCAGTACTCAAATTGAGTTAAGTCATGGTGTGTGAGCTCCAGCTACACGGCCTCCATCGGCTGCAACTGGCTCAGGCGGTTGTCTGTGACACACTCACTGGCTCTGCTCCAAGTTGCCAGTGGGGAAAGAGCTTGGCTTCCCTCTGGGATCTACCCCTCCCTAAAGATAGACACTGTTGATGATCAACAACACAGTAGCTGCGCAGAGTCTTAAGATCAAGTCATATGTGATGTAGTAATAGAGTAGTAAGCCCACATAATGTGCTTAGCTTATGACATACATATATGCTGATGTTGCAGAATGTGTCAGAGAGAGCTGATCCACCCGTTTAAGTGCGAGGTTGTAAAGCTTGTAAGTCGTCCTTACAGCAGCTGGCCTCTCCGAAATATAGGTTACTGACATTTTGTGTCACTAAATACAAACGCATTTCCGTGTGAGATATTAGCCCACACACATCACAGAGAGTACAATTTTATCTCTGCCCTAACATTATTATGACATTATGCTGCCTAAACTGATTAGGGTCTGTTCTCAATTGTAAGGATATAATCTACTAAAACAGAACAAGGGCTGGAATGCTTCAGAGACCCAAATGGCAAATTTACTGCATTGGTTGCTCTTTGTACATTACATTTAAAAAAAAAATCTCACTGTTTCGAGGGTAGGTTTAGGGCTACAGCTAATAATTATTTTCATTATCGATTCATGTGCAGTTAAGTCATCAATTATTTGTTTTGTTAATAAGATGTCAGAACATTTTTCAAAGTCTCTTACAACTTCGCAGAGCTCAAGGTAGCATTTTTACATGTCTTTTTTCAGTCTAAAAAGAGTCTGGTAACTGTCATATATGACAAAGAAAATCACAAATCCTCACATTTGAGGAGCTTGAACCAGAGAATTTGCTTGAAAAGTTACT